CTTTGCAACGTTGGGACATCCATCTTTGGCCTACAGACCTACAATATCTGACAGACTTTTCTGTGAATCAGAAATTTTGAAGGACTGTCCTACCTTGTCTTGGCAAAGTTCTGCAGTTGTCGTGTGTGTGTGTGTGTGTGTGTGTGTGTGTGTGTGTGTGTGTGTTCTGTTCATCCAGTTTGAACAGCATACCATCAGTAGTCCAGGCGCAAGGGCAGTTTCTTGCCCAAATGGTTAGCTTTGTCACAATAAAAGCAAACTCCATATGGCGGTTCTTCCATGCCCATCGTCCTCTTGATGCTGCCAGAGGCAGATGTGTCTCATCGTCATGAAAAGACTTAGGTTATTAAGACATCTTAAATGCCATATTATGTAGGTCTCTGAAGTATTTAAAAACCACCTATCTTTCTAAAATATATCTCTGTTTAACCTTGAAAACTTACGTAACATGACTACAAGTTTGATTACTGTAGATGACTAACTGCTAACCTGTATTTCTTAATTATACGTTACATTTTTAAATGAGCTGCATAGTTACAATACCTTAAACAAGAGCAGAAACATATGCATAGTATGCCAAAATAACTTTAAATTTGTATCAATATACAAAAATATCTTAAACAAGAGTAGAAACAGATATAGAGTACAGTCTAAGGTGTGTGTGTGTGTGTGTGTGTGTGTGTGTGTGTGTGTGTGTTTTCCCTCTGAGCCATCTCACTGGCCTTGTCTTCATTTCCTGAAGTGGTGAAACTGAGGCTGACAAGGAACAGCACGCTGACACTCCTAGCCTCTGCTCTGATGTCTTCACAAGTTTCTCTGGGACAGCAACCAAGGCCAACCTTCCCTTCTCTGGGTGCTGGGGGGAAGGGACAGAGGAAACCAGAGTGGAGTCATTGACCTGAAGGTAGGGAAGGGCACTGTCACAGGACGTTTGCACTCTCTGGTGGGAGCCCCGGGGAACAGGAAGAGCCCCATGGATTCCGAGTTCCTTTCCCCACGTCCATGGGCACCTTGTTTCTGTTGTGCTTGTGACGTCTGCGCTGTCCCTCACTGAACCTGGTGACGCTGGCTGAACAAATACTACCTCCGCTATTGACTCAAAACGTGTACAGGGACTCAAAGTTCAAGTCCAGGGGGACCTGAAGCTTTGAGGGGGAGGGGGAAGCACCGAGTTCTGGGATTACAACATTCTTTATTATGGGGTAGAGTTCCCTCAAACTGTGTCCCATAGCTGGGTTTCCAGAAATCGTATGCACTTGGATGGAAACCTGTTGGGCGCTGCCGATGGGAAAGGAGGCTGGGGAAAGCGACCATGCAGCGGCCGCGCTCTTAGCAAGACAGTAGGGGTTTTGAGAATTCCCTGTTGTCTATCTGTAGTAAGTGGGATAATTAGGGTTAGGATGTGGCTTGGCCTACTATGTGTAAGACCTTGTCTATCGGCACTAGTACTGCAAAAAATAACAAAATAGGAGGGCTGTGGTAGCTCAGTGGTAGAGTACCTGCCTAGCATGCATTAGTCTACTTAACTTATTCTTTTCATTGTTCTCAAACTTGATATGTGGCCAATGACAACCTTGAACTTCATGCTGGGATCACAAGTGTGCATCACCACATCTGCTTTATGTGGCTCAGAGGATGGAACCCAGGACTTCAAGCATGCTAGACAAGCACTCCAACACCGAGCTACATCACCAGGCCTGGTTTGTTTCTTCAGAATTTTTATTTTAAAAAATATGTGTGGGAGGGTATGTACACACGAATGCAGGTGCCCGAGGAAGGCCGGAAGAGGGCCTCAGGTCTCCAGAAACGGGACTTAGAGGTGATTGTGACCCCCCTCTTGATATGGGTGCTGGGAATCAAACTTCGGTCCTAGGCAAGAACAGTGCTCCCTCTTAGCTGTTGAATCATTTTCTCCAACTCTGTTTTTGTTGTTGTTGTTTGTTTGTTTTGATTTTTTGAGACAAGGTTTCTCTGTGTAGCAGTCCTGAATGTCCTGGAACTCACCTTGCAGACCAGGCTGGTCTTGAACTCACAGAGATCCGCCTGTCTCTGCCTCCCAAATGCTGGGATTAAAAGCGTGCACCACCACCACGCGGCTTTATTTTTTATTTTATTTTATTTTATTTTATTACTTTGAGACACGTTCATGCTGTAGCCCAGGCTGGCCTCCAATTCATATGTGATCCTCCTGCCTCAGTCTCCCAAGTGCTGGGATTATAAATGTGAGCCACTACAGAGGGCAAACGTGTCTATCGTGAGCAGCTGGCACAGTCTATGTGATTAAAACTGGGGAAGAATGTAAAAAAAAAAGCAGAAGAGCTTGAGAAAAGTTATTCTAGCTTGGGGCCAGTTCCTGAGATATTTTCAGCGCTCAGGGAGTTTAGGTTAGGGCCCAAAGCTCTCCCCAGGGGCGCGCGTGCTCGCTCGCTGGCGGCGGGAGAGGGGGGGCGGTCGGTTCGGAGCGGTGTTCTTTAAGCTTTTATTAATAGCCACCTCGGGAGCTACAGTCCCTAGGAGCAGAGTCATAGTGGGGGCAAAGGAAGGAAAATGAGGTTCCCATAGCATAAACCAGTTGCAGGCGGTTCTGACTCATTACGGTACCTCCCCAGGGCACAGGTACACGAAGTAAAAGGCGCCGGGGCGCTCCCATTGACCAAGTCCCCGCCCTGCTCCTGCCCCGCCTGCCCTGCAGGTGGCACCCAGGCGGCGGCAGGGAGGGCCCACGGTCAAGGCCGCAGAGCCTTCCCGACAGACAGGGCACAGGGCCAATCCAGACGGACGCAAGGGAGGAAGTGTCCTTGGGGAGGGGACTGGTTAGCGCTGGGGTTCTAGGGAGAGGAGGAAGGGCATTTAAGGTGAGTGTGACAGTCCACACTGTAAAGGAGCTTTAGGTAGGGAGCGGCAGGAGGTGACGCTAGGGCCACCAGGGCAGATGCAACAGGTAGCAGTGCAGGGCCTAGACTCCTGCCTTCTAGGTCGGAGAAAAGCGGCCTTCCTCAGGCAAGCCTCAATAACAACAATAATAACAACAACAACAATAATGATAATAATAATGCCAATGAAATTAAGAAGTTCTTCCCCCTTCACCACTTTCGGCCGGGTGGACGGAAGAAAGTGTTTCCAGATAGCACCTCGGTTGGTGCCACCCACATGTCACACTTGTCATATGCTTCCACGCCCAGAAACAGGTGCTCAGAGAAGGATGCTTAAGAAGGCCCATGGCATGTGCGTGTGGATGTCCCTAAATGTCCTTTGGAGGCCGGTTTAGTTAACTCACAGCAGAACTGTGCGGCCAAGTGAAAGACCCCAATTATCTCCGAGTCACTTCACATAAACTAAGTAAAACGGGCAAAGTTACACGCAGCAATCGCCTGGGCTTTTAAAACAATAGGGAGTTGGGGGCGCGGTGAGACACAGCAACGGTTAACCATAGTCGGGGGCGGGATCAAAGGGGAACTTTCATTTTCTCTTCTGAACCCTTCCGTAGCACCACAGGGAAAGATGGAGGCAAACAAGGCTCTTCCATGACCCGGCGTGCTTGACTTCAATCTTCCTTCTTCAGTGCCTTTATGGAGCGGTTGCTCTAAGCAGGGCCTGGATCCGCAGCCTGGGAGGGCGCCCCACCTGGCGGGGAGAGCGCCCTGCCTGGTCTGGCCCGGCTTCTTCGTACGGCACCCGCGGAGCACCTGCTACCTTCTTCCCCTGAGTGCTGCCAGGCGGTCCCTCTGCAGAGGGCCGCTCTGCACCAGGTTCCAATCTCTTCTCTCCCGGCACCTACTAGTTCTAGGCGTCCAAAGAGTAATTCTATTCTATTGCTTTTTGGTGCTGAAAATCGATGATCTTACACAGGACAGGCATGCACCACACCATGAGCTACACTCCCAGACCCCAATTGTCATGCAAATGAGACTTTTTTTTTTTTAAACCTAGATGATTTTATACCAGGGAGCCTACGAGTGTGTTGGCCTCTGGAGCCAACCTGCCCTAGGATAACAAACATATGTCACTCAGGCTTGGGACTTGGGCTTCTTCACTCGGTGATGTTAGGGAAGCCATTCCATTCCTTTTTCCGCCTAGCTCCTGTCTTGTTTTGTTTGGTTGGTTAGTTGGTGGGTGGGTTTTAAAAAAAAAAAAAAAACAACAACCAGTCCGGAGCATAAACAGCAGGGGTGCAGAGAAGTTTATATGCCTGTGCGAGTGTAAGCCAGGCATGATGTAAAGAGTTTTTGTGGGCATAACCCTACCTAATGAGTTAGTCCCTTTTGCAGAAGAAGAAACAGGCTTGCGAGGTGAGGAATGTTGTACTAGGACGGCTGTTGGCAAGCTCCGGTGCTAGCCTCAGTTTCCTCACGGGACTCCTCCCCTTAGCCCCGCCCCGTCCAGGCCCCGCCCCGTCCCGCCCGCGCTGCAGCCGGGCCCAGCTCAGCCAATCACCCGCGGCGCGCGTCCGTACGCTTGGCCTCGCCCGCCCCGACTCGGACTCGGCTCGCTCATTCCGCCGCCGGCGTCCTCAGACTCGGTAAGGCAGCGCTTGGGTAGCGCTGCGGCACCGCCCTGGGCCGGGCGCGCGGGTGTCACCTATGGGAGCGCGGAGGGGGACACAGACTGTGCCCACAGGGTTCGCGGGAGCTGCGCGTTGGAGAGGCTGAGGGCACTCCCTCCCCCGCAAAGTGACCGGTCTGGGGATCCCCGGGTGGGAGGAAGGATGCTTGATCCCCGGACTGGGCAAGATGCCTTCGCCAGGGACGCGTGGGGCCTCGGCCCCTGGTGTCCCTCCCCACGGTGGAGTCTCTCTGCGCGTGGGTTTGGGGTCCTCAGTGCACCATGACGAATGCTCAGGATTAGGCACGACTCCTTGGTACCCTGTCAGTAGGGACGTCAACTCCTTTTCCCGCCCCATCCCACTCCCCACTCTGCGGGTGGCTTGGGGGCCAGTGTAAACGCCGAGCCCTTTTCCAGCCCCATCCCACTCGTCACTCTGCAGGTGGATTGGGCCCGGGGGTCCGCGAGGGTCGGGCGCGGCAGCAGGAAGGATGCTCGGCCTCGGGACTTGGCAGGTGGCCGGCGCCCCCTCCCCGTGCGGGTCCCTGCAGTGCAGCCGTCGGGACACGCCCTTGGCGCAGAGACTCAAGGGTTGAGCACCCCTCACTCTCTGTTTTGTGCGGGGTTCAAGGGCAGGTGGGTGTCCAGAGACTGCCCAAGGTCGCGCAGGGACTGGAGCCCGGGAGGGTGGGGGTGTCACGTGACCCGGCCTGGGCGAACTTGGCCAGGGACAGCCCGACGGCGCGGTCTGGGCAGCCCCGAGATCCGCTTGGCTGTGTTCTAACAGCCGGTTTTTCTTCATCTTCATATTGTGAATCCGGGCCTGGCTTTCGTTAACGCCACAGAAAACAGATGAATGCTCACTTTTTTAAAGGAGTTAAAAAGTTCCTAGGGTGAACCAGGCTAGACATAGATCAAGATCAGTACTCTCAACTCCGGCGGACTCTCAGCTCCTTTCCGTCCCGTGCATTCAAACAGCAGTTCCAAGAACAAATTTTAGTCGGAAACTGCTAACTTTGAAAGTTCGTAAATAAAACGAAAGTGAGTTTAGAAGCCTTTGGGAACGCGTATTTAGTTACAGCATTTCCTCGCACAGGCGTCTGGTTTCTGGTCATTCCTGATATTCAAGCATGTTTATCTCTGTCAAAACCACAAGCCAAATGAGTAAAATACAGCTTTGGCCTTTTATTTGTGCCAGCAAGCATACATTTCCCCCACCCCGTCTCTAGTCAGTCGACTCTGGGCTAAGTGAGGACATAAACCTGAGGACTTCGGTGCGGGGACCGTGCAGGGCAGTAGGCAGGACTGCACCATCCGCAGTCAGTGTCTCGCTGGACTGTCTCTGCGGCAGCACCAAAGCTCTTTTGTCATGTAAATTACTGTTATCTTAACTATGTCGCCTCGTTAGATTAACCTTACACTTGATTTTTCTCTTTTATCTATTACTTTTTTTTTTTTTTTTGAGATTGGGTCTCATGTAGCACAGGCTGGCCTCGAACCCCTTGATCTCCTTCCTGCCTTCCCCCCCACCCCACCCCCAAGTGCTGTGATTTCAGGCGTGTACTACCACTCCCGGCTTTGAACTCCGTCTTAACCGTTTCTGGAATCGACCCCGGGTCAGGTTTTGTATCAAAATTGGCCGAAGCGGCTTCTTGCACAAGACAAAACCCTTTCGAGTTTGAGCTAGAAAGCCACCTGACTGCAGATGAGGGAGAGAAACGCCTCCCTCCCGCCGCTGCGCTTGGCCGGGACCCAGTGGTCACCGAACGGGCAGGCCTGGTTCTCCCGGGATTTGGGGGCGCTGGCCGGAGTTTACCCAATCCTGATTCCTCTTGCCCATTTTGCCCATTCATAAAAGCGCTGTAATTTTTACTTTTTTTTTTTTTTTTTTTTTTTTTGGCTTGGGATTCTCGGTGAAACCCTTTGAGGCAGAGAGTCCGCAGGCTGTTTTGTTGCAAGCGACATCTGTTGTCGGACAAAGCGGTCGGTGGCCCGGGGCGGCGCTCTGGGATGGCAGCGGCGACGCGCGCCGGCTAGCTCCGGAAGGCCTGCGTGGGCTCGGCCGGTGGAACAGGATCCGAGCGCCCCGGACGCGCCAGCACGGGGGCGGGGCTCCCGTAACCTTTCCCCTACTTTTCTCAGCCGCCACGTGACCCCCGCCGCGGTGGGGGAAGGGGCGGGGCGGGAAGCCGCGGTTGCTAGTGCCCTTCCCTTCTCGAGCGCCTTGAACTTGCAGTCTTGGTCTCCAGGCGCCTAGCGGCCCGGGACGCTCCTGTACTTTGACCGTTTGCAGGTTTTGTTTTGTCGGAAAATATGTTTAGTCACCCTGCATAGATATTTACGGCTAGGCCAGAGTTTTATGGCTGGTGGAAGCCTGCACTTGAATTACGTTAGAATAAATGGTAGTCCAAGGTGAATCTCTTTTAAAAGTGTGTTTAGCAGATGTCCAGTCCCCTGAGGAGGGAGGATCGCTTGAATCCGGGAGTTGAGGGACGGCTTGGGAATATGCAAAGATCCATCCCCAGAAAGAAGGAAAGAAATGGGGCGGGGAGGGGGGGCCGGGATTGCTAAGCCAGAGGCTCGCCTAGCAGGCTGAAAAAAGGGATTACTGCACACTTGAATTAATGCCAATTTGAGCTTTTATTGCAAGAACTTTTGTTGTTAGGAAAATAAGCCTGCTGCCAAACCTGACGACCTGAGAGGGATTCAATCCCTGAACTCACAGAGTGAAAATTATCCCGACTTCCGCCCACGTGCTATAGTGTATAGTGTGTGTTTGTTGCACTACCATAAATAAACGTGATACACATTTTTGTTTAAGTAAAAAGCAATACCATCGTACTGTGCAAAGCTGAAAAGGCGAAAATGGGGGGTGCCATGTGATGGCTTTCCTGCTTGGTAGCTGGTGCAGAGGCCACACCTGTGAGCAGTTTCTTCAGGACTGTGATGGTGTTTGGGAGGTGGGTAAAGGGGAGCAGGGTTTAAGGCCAGCTGCACTAGCAGGACGTCGGATTCCTGAGCGGGATACACAAGAACTTGCTTCTAAACCAAACCTAGGCTATGCATAGTTTGGGTTGTTTGGTTTTACCTGACACAAGGAGTAAGTTCTGCTTGTTGATTTCAAATATCTGTTACCTTTTGTACCCTTCACCTTGAACCCCATGCAAATACTGAGGCGGACATTGGGTCCCCGTAGGCGCTGGGCTAAGGCCAGCTTTGCCCTGTTTAGGTAACGTGGCAGCCAGGTTCCGAGAAATGCCCACCTTTGCCCTTTTTGTGCGAGTTGTTCTGACCTTCAGGAATGTTTTTCCGAAGTTAATAACAGAGGGCACGCTGCCCGTGGAGGGGCCCAACACCTGGGTAACTGCCGCTTGGAAGGTTGGGAAACACAGTGGCTGCTGACCTTACCTCTGAGGAGTGCCAACCCATGTTGCACACAGACCCATTTAGATAAGAGGGAAGTTTGATATGGTTGAAAACATCTTTACTCCCAGTGGGGTTTGGGGGTGGTGGTGTGCTAAGGCAGGAAGATTGCCATGAATTCCAGGGCTATATAGCAGGACCTTCTCTCAAAAATTAAACAAAACAAACCCAAAACAGCAAAGCCAGGCTTAGCTGTCTATGCCTATAATCCCAGCTCTTGGGAGATGGAGACAGAAATTTAGGAGTTCAAGATCAGCCTCAGTGACATACCCAGTTTGGGGCTAGCCTGGACTACATAACAAAACAAGGAAATAAAAAATGCTGTGTTATGCACTGGTGTTGGTGGCTTGTGGCACTTAGGAATGCAGGGTCATCTGGACTCTGTCCCCTTGTCCAAGTGTGGTCGGAGCTGAGTCTGTTACTTCTGTTCCTTAAGTCCCTCCAGAATTCAGCTTCCTCTCGGTCTCCCTGACCCTGTGCAGGCGTGCGTGTTCTTGCTGAAGGAAGGACAGAGGTTGGGGCACCCTTTCTCCACTGGACTGATCCAGCCTACTGATATTAAATTAAGAGGGTGGGGGTCCTTTGGGAGTTTCACTGGTTGTACCCCAGAAGTTCATGCCTGGGAGGCAGAGACCAGAGGAAGTGGTTGGGCCCCTGCCTCAGTGCCTCTTCCACCATGCTCTGTACCTGATACCAGCATCCTACCCCCATCCCGGCCACTAGCTGCAGTGACCTCATCCACACCCACCTAGATGGCTTCCTTTGGGGTTCCCTTGGCTTTGGGTTAAGCCATAAATAGAGAACTCAGCATGCCTTGTTATGATGCCCTGAAGGGACATTCATATGCAAGGAACAGTGAGTGACTCCTTACACCTCTACCCACCTTGAAACAAGAGTCTCACTATGTACTCCTGGCTAGCCTGAAACTCACTGTGTAGACCTTGCTAACTGGCTGACCTGGAACTTCTGATCCTCTTGCCTCGACCTCAGCCCTTTATGAAATGGATTCATCCTTAGCTTCCCAGCAGCTGCCGTGGCTGAGGAAGGTCTAGCCCGGGAGATTTGTTGAGCACAGCCCATTCATCGTGTCCTGTGGGTCAGTGAAGGCATTCTGAGAAGAAATGAATGAACTGTCCAGGTTAGTCAGAAGAGAGGCTAAGTACCCCGTGCTGACATTGAGGCGTTTACGTAGGTGGGGTGTGGAGGAAGAGCAAGGACGGACACCCACTTTCTTGAGCACAGGCTCCTGCTGGAATGGCAGAGTGTAGTGCTTTGTGCGGATGAACAGTGTATACGAGTGATGTTGGCCAGTGACAGAGAGCTGGAAGTGAACCCACATCTGTGTTGAAGCCACTTTCTGAGCTAGGCCCAAGTACCCGTGTCACAGAGCAGGGCTCTTAGTGGTGACCCCCACCCCCATTCATGCAGACTGAGACTGCCTGTGACCAGATGTGAGCATGCCTGGGTGTTCATTTCTTCCTCTGTAGCAGCTCTGATGCCTGCCCTCCTGTGTGCCCCGACTCCCATGAGACTCCACTAAGGGGTTAGAACTCAGTCTCAGCACTCAGGCGGCAGAGGCAGGCAGATCTCTAAGTCTGAGGCTGGCCTTGTCTTCTGTGAGTGTGACCTATGCACAATCTTGAACTTCGTGATGCTTAAAAAAGAAAAAAAAAGGTTTATTCTATTTTGTTTTTGAGACAGGGTCACACTTTGTAATTCTAGCTGGCCTGGAATTCGCTGTGTAGACCAGGCTGGTCTTGAACTCACAGAGATCTACCTGCCTCTGCTTCCCCAGTGCTGGGATTGAAGTGTGCCACCACACGTGTTTTTGTTTTTTAACTTTTTAAACTTGTGTGTGTGTGTGTGTGTGTGTGTGTGTGTGTGTGTGTGTGTGTGTCTGCATATGTGCACATGAGTGCAGGTGCCTCTGGAGACATCAGCTGCCCTGGGGCAGGAGACAGGTGGTTGTAAGCCGCCTGACATGGGAGCTGGAAGCCAAGCTCCATCCTCTGAAGAGCAGCATACACTCTGAGCCTCCGTCAGCCTTGTCCCTGATAAGTGAAAACACTATACGTCCCATAGAATGTGAATGTAGGAGGTTAACTTTGGATCTTTCCCTGGGGCTGATGGAGTGAAATGCCATCTTCTCTGTGACTCTGGTGATTTCAGTGTGACCCCAGGCCCTTCACAGGACATTATATTGCTAAGGTACA